AGCTGGATTAACTTAAAAACTAAAGCGGAACAAGACTTTCTAATTATTAAAAAATTTTTGGATAAAAAATTATTGACTGTAAATATAGAGAAAACATATTATTTACCATTTAGCTGCAATTCATATGGTGCACCACCGTGAAATCGCTTAAGAATTACTGATGGCGGAGACTCTCTTTTCATTTCAAATAAAAATAAAATTAAATACCTTGGAGTAATAAAAGATCCTTATTTAAAATGGAACTTACACATATCCTACACGGTAAATAAATTACGCAGTATTTTGTACAAATTCAAATTTTTAAAAGATATTTTACCATTACAACATATTAAAACCTTTTATTGTGTTCTAGTTGAAAGCCATCTTCGGTATGCAATCACTGTGTGGGGTGCAGCTTTGAAAACACACCTTCGCCCTTTAGAAGTCACACAAAGGCAATTTCTAGAGATAATTTATTTAAAAAAATTTAGATATCCTACAGAAACCTTATTCTACGGTTTTTAGTAAGTCTTCTACTATTTTTTAAGTTGTAAGATTAAAAAAGGAGTTTGTGCAACAAACGTGGATATGACGGCTATATCGGACGAAGACGAAGTATAAATTCGATATAGATAATTCACTCCAGTTGTACAGTATATTTTTTCTATGACCTACTTACGAAAATCTACAATTTAAAACTTATTTTAGGTTATTAAGATAAAATAACTCATTTTAAAATTATTTATGGCTTTATATTAAAAACATATGTAAATAAATAAACATTTATACATCCTTTAAGACATAAATGTGTCTGTGTGCTGGAAAGTATAATAATATAACAATAATAAAGATATAATGCTTGGCCCTCATTTTCAATCAGATTGATTTCAGAATCAATTTGAAACAAGAAGGCTATAGGTATATATTACTTTACTATAATTTATCAATATTACAAGATGACGGTGTTCGATAGGGGATAAGCTATCCATTTAAGAATCACACGATCACAATATAATAGCGTTTGCGAAAAGTCAACTATCACCCAGTCATTAGAAAAGAGTTATCGTTAGAATCATTAATTTCTTCAGTATTGTTCTGTTGAGGGTGACTATCTACTAAAGATCCCACCCTAATGCGTCCAAGTATTGTTGTAATTCGCTTCTTTACATGCAGACGGTGCCATATGGCACAAAACTTCACGTACTTTACTTGAATTCTCACAATACTTCACCATCTGTTGGAATAGATTAATTTGATGATTGCTACCGAAAAATAAACTGGCTACTTATTTAATATTATATATACCGTGGAAATAAATTAATTGAATAAGAAAATTGGGGTATTAGGGACGTAAGGAAAGAAAAATTTAAGATTTCAATAGATATATAAATAAAATATGCATCAATGTTCAGCAAGAAGTTTTAACTTCATCACTCATTTCATGCTGAAGAAGTTTTTACCTTCATATGTACCTACCTACTAAAAAGCTATAAATTATTTCTTAAATTTGTTCTAAAAAAAATGTGAATTGTCCTTTTATAAAGGTTTGACCCTTTAGAAGGTGATCCCAAAAATATATGCTCAGAAGAAAACCATGTTACTTTACATTTTTATTTTGTATAGCCTTTGGCGTTACTAGATCAATCTTAAATACTTAAGACATGTAGCCATAATAAAAACGCAATAATTTTTTTAATATTATCATACACCATTTAGTATTTAACCAAATAGTTATTTTAAGGGTTGATTTTGAGGAAGTTTTTCACACAAATATGCATGTGGTCACAACCAAGTAATATTGTTGAAATAAGCATTGTCAAGTATATACCCTGAATACAATCTTTAAAAATATTGTTTTCTTTATATTCTTTTACTATTATTAGGTTCAAATATTTAATTGTTAAATTTAAGAAATTTTGCAGAAAATAAATATTATTTGCCAACTTTCTGTTTTATGCAGATATGGGCAACTGAAAAATAATATCTTAAGAAATAAAATGAAGAGTTATAGATAGATTTTAAATATGTATTAATAGACAACAAAACATTAAGCTATTCTTGATAAGTCAAATAACATTATATATCTGACACCTATGACTTGAGACCTAATAATTAGGAAAAACGTAATCCAAAATAATTTATAATAATGTGAACAGTTAATTATATATTTGGAGAAAGTTTTCTAACTCAATTTTCTCAATATACCTAAGTGTGTTAACGATGGTTGCTAGACGTCCCGCTTTAGGTGTAATTGTCCCGCTTTTTACCTAAATGTTACGCTTTTTACCTAAAAGTCACGCTTTTTACTCAAATACCACGCTTCTTAAATCCAAAGTTATAAATAAAAAAATTAAAGAAATTTTTTAAGAGTTAAGATCTGGTTTTTTGAGAAGCTCCCCAGAAAAAGGACTTGTTATATAAAAATATAAACAGAGGACTTTTTTAAATCTCCACAACAAAAAACCTGATTTGATAAAAAATACCTGTTTTTAACATGATCCCCAGTAGTCACCGTTATCCCGCTTTTCCGTTTTGTAAATCTGGCCACCCTAGTATTAACTATACAGTATCGGCTATCGAACGCTTTCCAATACACTTTGACAAGTGCATATGAGAACTACTATATATTTTATTGGCCTTAATCACATTTCTTTTACCAATTATTTTGAATTTTACAAATTATACTATAATTTATTCTGCCAGTTGTTGAATTTTATGGCAATTTCAAAATTACCGATTTTCCTAAAATAAAATAGTAATTTGTGCAACTAGAGTAATGATAATCACATCGCACGAAGACGAAGTTTGAGCACGACGCCGTAAGCGTAAGTGGACCATCCACTCGAGTTGTACAGTATATTTTTTCTACGACGCACCAATGAAAAACTATAAATTGTAAAAATTATTTTAGGTTATTAAGACAAAATAACTAATGTTAAAATAATTTATGAATTTTACTAATTTATAAAATAAAATAAACATAAAAAAGATTTTATTTAATTAGTCCCCAACCCTGATTGAACCCGGGATTTTCGCGTAGAAGACAGACGCTCTGACCTCACCTTCATTGTCACTTTTAGGATTTTAGTTTTAATAGTCATAATCAAATTAGTTTCATATAATTTGATTAAAAATTTTTTATTTATTTTTTAATATGGGCTAAATTAAAATAAAAATGCTATTATTTATCGATTCTACACAAAAATAACTCATTTTAATGTATATTTAATTTCAATAACTAAAAAATATGCTGACAGATATTAGTTTGACAGAATTGTTACTTATTTAAAATTTTAAAAATAGTAGTTGCATGTCCAAAATTTGAACTGTGATTGGTGGATTTTATTTTTTTACAGTATTTTTACTACCTGGAATGGATATGAAATATATTCGTTCAGTTGAACGTTTTGTATTCTGTGCGTAGATAAGTTAATATCCATGTGGATGTAGAAAAAATCTTTTTCTATACCCACATGAATATTAGATATTCTATGTACAGACTTCAAATCGAGAAAGTAAGCCATTGGTTCAACTGAACGAATGTATTCTATATCTATTTACCCAATTAGAACACTGCACGAATATGAATTTCACCAATAATAGTTCATATTTGGTCACCAGGCTATTATATTTTTAAATAAGTGATAATTCTCTCAAACTAATTGTTAGTATATTTTTTAGTTATGGTAAAGATAATTAAGAATGAGTAATTCTATTGAAGAATCGTCAAATTATAGCAATTCACAAGATATTCACCTACATTTTCAAATAATAATAATAATAATACTCTTCCTAATTCACCCCCTAACGAGTGAATTTTAACCCCAAAAGCGGGGAAAGAGACGGCTATTATTTTTATTATTATTTGCCGTGGCGCTCCGGGGCGACTTAAAGATGATTAATGGCGCCATTTCACTTACAGGTGGAGAAAACCCGGAAAACCTCATCCACCATCAAATAAATCGTGAATTTTAATAAAACTATATGCCATCAATTTAAATATGAGCATTGACATACGAAAAGACCCGGGTTCAAATCTAGGATTGAAGACTAATTAAATAAAATATTTTTTTAGTTTGCTGAAGTATTAAATTATTTTGAAATTAGTTAATTTATCTCAATAACCTAAAAAAATTTTTAATTTCTATATTTTCGTTGGTGGGTCGTAAAAAAATATGATGTATAACTCAAGTGGAATATCCCTATCGCACATAAATTATTAGCCAATATTGTCAAAAAATTCTCTTCTCTATTATTTTCTTAAAAATAATGTTTAAAGCAAACTTTTTATAAATACTAAAATGAATTATTATCAAAACTGAGGTCTTAAATATTACCACAACCTCCAAGACTTAAAATCTGGATGCGCCACTGACTAAGTATATCTGTTAGAAACCAAATTGTTATTGCTCAGAACTATCCTATGTATTATGTACCTACCTTATCGTTTATCCCTGTATATTTTAAAAGTATTTAAAATGCATTATTTTTAACTAAACTATATAAAAAGCTTTACCATTAAATGTCATTAATATAATTTGTATAATAATTGTCAAACACCTGAATGCGAAGTGAAAAAAAAACCTCAATTTTAAATGTTTTGAAGCGACGATGTATATTTCTAAGATTTAAATTAGTATTTAAAAATATTAAGACATTCCGGTAATGTAAATTTAAGAACAAAGCTATAAAATTGCATTTGAGACTGGTAACATTGCTGAAATGTACTCGTATAGCAACAATTAATTGATGATAACATTGTTTGTACACAACGAGCACGAGTTCGAAACGAAACGCATCGGTGTTTGTTGTCGAGCGGGCCACAAGAAATAAGAAAAAGAGCAGTAGCTATCAACCGGTGCGTTCATTGCGAGCTCGTGGCCGTATGTGTGTGTCCTCCGCTGGTCGTAGTGCGTGGCTTCGGCAAGCCCGACCAGCGATTCAACAGTTGTGCGGAGACCGCAGGTGTTCGCAGTCTCAGCAGACGCCGTCACGATCCCTAACGCTCTCTCTGCTTTCAGGTATTGACATGGGCGACTATTCTTAAAGTGGGGACGCTGATCTGGAGGGGGACCTGCACGACCAATAACGCTCCAACTTATGATGTCATCGGAGGAGGAGACAGAGTTCGGTTTGTATACAGATAAGCTCCTGAAGAAATCTAAAAGAACTAGACAGCGTGTGGACGCCGGCGAGCCGCGTAACTCTTACTCTTCGATCCCGAACTTTAGTTCGCGACCGGCTTTTCTCGGTGGTAGTAATAATATATACGGCGCCATTTTTACCCAACAGCAACAGTTCGGTCTCTTCGGACCGGGGTTCGCGCCCGCAAAAATGTTGAACGAACTCCTCGGTCGACAGAAACCCGAAAACGCCGCGGAAGGCGAAGACGTGAAGTTCGACAACGTGATAAGGTGTGATAATAGCCCGCCCAGTGGAGAACAGCTCGCACATCACATGCTGCGGGATATTCTTCAAGGTAGGAAACACGAGCTTTTGGCATTGGAACAGGACATGCGCAATGGACAAGACCACATTATAAACAACAATAACAACGAACCAAAGACGAGTCCAGAAAGGAACGACGTCGACGCCGCCATACCCGTAAAGGAGTGCCTCACGGAAGCTAGTGATCGCGAAAGGCAGCAAGCGGAACTCATGGAAGAAGCTCTCAACGGCATGGAAACGGAATCTTTACCATCACCGAAAGTGGAACCGGCCAGCCCCGCCAAACCGGAAGACGCGAAAAAGGCACGAGTAGAAAACATAGTAACAGGTATGCGATCTAGTCCGGCACCGCCGCAAGTTAATGGCTGCAAAAAACGAAAGCTTTACCAACCTCAACAACACGATAGCAATGCCGATAGATACGTGGACGACGAAGAAGAAGAAATAGAACCTATTAGACAGAAACGTGTAGAAAAAAACATTCTAAAATCGCAACTGCGATCAATGCAAGAACAATTAGCAGAAATGCAACAAAAATACATGGCCCTTTGCAATCGTGTCGAGCAAGGATCAGAAGAAAGCCAAGAAATCGAAGAAATACCCAGTGATAGTGAACAAAGTAAACGATCAGCACCTCCTTCGCCGGTAACTAGGAGTACACCGACGCCCGTTCCGCAACCTACGCTGGCACAAGAGGTGAGCAAAATGAAAATTAGTCCTCCAGGTCCTCCATTTCACAACGGTTTTTTACATAATCCTCATCAACATATGAGCAACGCGGCGGCGATGTACCTAGGCGTAAGTCACAAACTTTTTATGGAACAAGAAGCTAGATTAGCCAAAGAAGCGGCAGCTGCCAATGCCGCGAGCAATGAATCACATCACATACAATCATCACAGCAGCAACATAGTACTCCTAAATCCGACCATATCCAAGAACGACTGAACATAATAAGAAACTTAAATCCCAACGGAACAGATCTGGAGGGCCTCGCAGACGCCCTCAAAAGTGAAATAACCTCCTCCTTGTCGAACCTCATAGACTCGATATTGCACCGATTCGTTCATCAGAAAAGGTGTAAACAACAAGACGCGGCGACCGCAGCGGAACAACTCAACAAAGACCTGTTGATGGCATCCCAACTTCTAGACAGGAAGTCTCCAAGGACCAAGGTGGCGGAACGACCACAAGCTCCGCCGCCACCACACAATCACCAAAATCAAATGGTAAATGGAAATGCGGGTTGTCCATCGATGATGCCCGTTCATAATATGAATAATATGCAAAAACATTCAGATCTTCACATTCGACCTCCGATGTTTCAGCCTCCAAAACCTCCAGGTATTAACGCTCCTTTATACGGAATGACCCACCCCTTTTGCGTCAATAAACCACAGGAACCTCCAGAGCAGAACGAAGCACTTAGCCTCGTGGTGGCGCCTAAAAAGAAGCGCCACAAAGTGACGGATACGCGGATAACGCCTAGGACAGTTAGCAGGATTTTGGGGCAGGATGGGATGGGAATGTCTCCTGCAGCCATGGAACCGAACTCTTGTTCTTCTCCACGGCCGCCCCCATATCACCAGCCGCCGCCGATGTTGCCCGTCTCCCTTCCGACGTCGGTGGCGATACCCAATCCAGGCCTCCACGAATCTCAGGTTTTTTCACCCTACAGCCCCTTCTTCCATGGACCAAGTCATGGGCATCACATGGCCATGCAGGTAAGTCATTTTTTTACATATCTATACTTTTTTTTACAAAAAATAAACTAAATTTATACACAATAATTTATTGATAACTAGCATATTGTAGAACAAACATTTTTTAAAACAACTAAATAATATTTCAAAAGAATATACACATCAAAGTATATTTTCTATATAATGTGTGGCAATCTAGTTATAATTCGTGTTTTCAAAATTTTATTGAAAAAAATTAATTCAAATATATTAAAATTTTAAATTTAAAGTTAAACTAGATTAACTGTACTAAAATATATTTGAAAGTTAAATTTTCAAAGACTTCTAACCAATGTTTACTAGAATTTGTTGTAATTAAAATAAATTATACAAATTTAATAATAATTTTTATATGAGTTATACAATTATTTTATTTGGTAGCAAAGATATTTTCATTTTTCCAGTTTAACTTTACTAATTATAACCATTTTTGTAAAAGCTAAGTCAAAAACTATAGTGAAAAAGTAACTATTCTATCAAATAGATTATTTTCAAAATAATGTATATTTAAGAATGATTTCTTGTAAAAACATTATTTATTATTACAGCCTTAAGCAAATTACTTTTTACTTGACCAATAAAATGAATAATTTTAAATACAAATAAAGGTCATAATGAAAAATATTTGTTACATAAAATTAAAAATTAAATAGAATGCACTGCTCAAGAATTTAAGTTCTAATTATTTAATAATGTTTAATAATTTGTCTGTTTAATAATAATAATTTAAAACAATAGCACGAGATAATGTTTATATTTTTTAGTTTGAATTAAAAAATTAACAAATATTTGAAGCATTTATTCTACAATAATGAAAATAACTATTAAAATATTGTAGGTATAAATTAATGGAAAGTTTTTATTATGTGATTAGAGTATTTTAGGTCATAATATGTCAAAAATATTCACCACTTATTTTTTCTTAGTTTATTGTCATAATTAACACCAAAAACTTAAGTTATACCTTAAGTTTCAAATTTCTATGACTTTGAAAAGTTTTTTAAATGAAGATTTTTTTATTTATTTAATATTTTTTTATTACGGCAATAATATATATAGTACTATCTAAAAATAAGAAATAATTTCCATATTGATTTTTGAAAAAATTCCGAAATTTTCACGCTCACATAATATACGGATATACAGGGTGATTCAATTTGCCGTCTTTATAATTATTTTTCTTTAAAAATATTCTTTTTTAAGGTAATAATACATTACCATCTTAGACATAGGATGATTTATCAAAATATTAAATAAAAAATTGGGGTTCTTGTTTAAAAAAATAAAATACTGTCACTATATTCACACTCATCGCCCTGTATATCTGAATGTTATGTAAAATGCGTGGATTTTAATAGTAAAATTGACTGCTTTTTGCTTCTATTTTTTCCAAAAATCAATATTTTACATATTATTAAATGTAATCCTTACTTTTGATTCACACTGTATATTGTACGTGCAGCAAAAAAAATTAAATTTAAAAATAAAGCATAAAAGTATTTCATATTTTATAGGCTGCAATAAATATATTTTTTTCATTTTAATTAACCTTAACTTGACCTCCCCAGAAAATCATAAACAAAGAATGAAAAAAACTATTGGCAAGGGGATGAATTGTCATATAAAATTCATACCCGGAAATCCAGCCCGCCAGCAACCCTCTATTTTTCTTAAGTTGCAAGTATGGTCGAGTAACACATCATTTGAAAGATAATTCAACAATATGACTAATAACTACATTACTTTTGATTTTAATGCCGTCTAGCGGAATATAACATTGTTACGTATTGGAAAGGGTGACACTTCATTTGAAAGCTAATTTTATTATTGATTTGATGCGCAGTATAAATTTGTTATTTTAGTTTGTATTTCTTAACGAGATGTGTACGATTTTTCAAATATTTAAGATTAGCTTCCAATGAAGTTGCACCTTTTTTTCTTCCGCTAGAGGGCGCTAAAATCAGAAGTAACGCAATGAATAGTCATGTTGCTGAATTATTTATAAAATTACCTTCCAAATGATGTATTACTCGACCATACTTGCTAAATAAAAAATAGGGGGTAACCTCCAGGCTCCAATGGGTTGATTTTTTGGAAATTTTATATGTAAATTCGTCTGCTTGACAATAAAAGTAGAGACGTTTTTTAAATTTTAAAAAACTCCTGTTTTTAAATTTCTGAGAGATCTAGTTATTGTTGGTACACCCTGTATATTTTAATATAATTTGTGACCAAAAATATAATTATTTTTTTGAATCTACAGAACTTTTCATATGTTTATTATCTTAATAATCAGTGTCGGCTCGTCACCAAAATAATGGGGGTTCACAATGACAGAATACTAGATCTCAGTACATATTTAGGTAAAAAACTTTTAGTGTTTATAATACTCGTATACCTACTTTCTAAAATACTGAAAAATTTTTACCTAAATCTCTACTTACATCTATATATATTCTGTTATCTTGAACCCCAAATATTTTAATGACTAGCCGCCACTGTAAATAATATTTCTATTCATGATGGCATTTTAATTAGCTGTATTTCCCCAAAAAAAAATTACATTTTAATTTTTATATCTTTATTTTTTCTTTTATTATAGGCTTCCTCCTCCCCACCCCGAATGCACAAGATCGAGAGAGAATCACCCCCCATACACCATCCCCCCACACTCCTCCATCCCGCATTACTGGCAGCAGCCCAACACGGGGCATCCCCGGACTACGGGCACATGAGGGCGCCATCCAACGGCATGAACATGGACAACGGTGATAGAAACTCAGACTGTAACTCAGGGGACATTTCTTATGATGGAATGCAGCCTACTATATCCTTTTTATGCAAAGATTTTAGTAAAAATCTTAGTGCGCATCATGTATGTATTTTTATTTTGAATAGATCTTATATTATCCAGTACTTCATCTATTTTTAGTTAATCTTACATAATCTTTATAGAAAATTAGAGGAGGTTATATACCTCAAAAATAAAATTTTAATCAAACACTATCAGTCTTAAATTTGAAAACAAAAATATAATTCTAAAAACTATTATATAAATACAAGTAATAAATATAATACGTATAAAAATAGCTTTACAAATAATTAACAAAGTTATAAACAAAATAGCTAATCTTATAGAACTTATTCTAACCAAAATAAAGCACCAATTTAGTAGTAAATCTTAGAAAAGCAGGCCTAACAGTTTCAAAAGAATAATTCTAAAATTTGCTGGAATTACCTCATAAAAAAATCATTTCTATACAAGCGATCAAGCAAAAATTGTGGTTTTCTCAATTATACATGCCCAAATTGTCCAAATTAAAAAAAAAAGATGTAACGTTTCATAGCCGACTTTAGAAATAAAAAGGCCAAATCACATATTTATTGTAAAATAATTATAACTTTAAAAGTAAAGAAGAGATATCTTCTTTATTTAACATTACATGAAAAGCATATCAATTTTTAATTTTGAAGAAATTCGAAGAATTTAAATAACACCGAAAAAATTAAAAGAGTGATTCTTTGATGAAAATTAATGTTAGTGTTTGGTATAAAATTTTTTGAAAAAACCCTCCCCGGAAAAGTTACACCCCTTCGAAAATTAAAAAAAAATGTTTTTCTTTTTTCTTTTCCCTGTATATCAAGCTAAAGACACGAAACTTGGTAAACATTATCTGTCAATAAAAGTAAACTTTTTAAAATTTTTTCAACCCTCAAGTATGCTTAGAAGGGGTTGAAATAATCAGCCCCTAAGATATTTTTTCTTACAACTTTTTTTAGATGAAATTTTTTTCTTTAAAAAAGTATGACTGAAGGGCCAATTCATTGACTAACTTTTTTATCTCTACAAGTTTTTTTCGAAAACTTAAGCATTTATGAGAAAAAAATAAATAAGCTCATGTAAAATAGCATTTCATTAAACAACAGCCAACCAAATTATGATTCTTAAGACTTCTACAACTAAAAACAAAAGTGAACAAACAATGAACAAAAACCTGTCGAATATCGACAATACAATTATAATAAATGTTGAAAATGACCGCCTTCAGCTTCAATACAAGCATCTACCCTTTCCTCATAGAATTGCGTATACGATAAAATATTCCTGGAGAATTTCTTATAGTTTCACACCCTGCTACAATGCGGTTTCGCAGATCATCAATATTTTCAACTGGGTTTGTGTATATCAAAGATTTCAGATATCCCCATATGCAAAAATCCAAAGGATTAAGGTCAGGGGAGCGGGCTGGCCAGTTTACAGGTCCTCATCGACCTATCCATTGATTGGCATACACCTCATTTAGGTGAGTTCTTGCACGTATACTAAAATAAGCTGGTGCACCATCGTGCATAAACCATAAATGTTGCCTAATTTGAATGAGAACCTCTTCAAGAAGAACAGGTAATTCTTCAAGGAGATGACAATATGCTTCACCATTTAATCGTAGCGGAAGAAAATGGGGACCAATTAAATGATTATCAATAATTCCGAGCCACACGTTTAATGAAAATTGATACCGATGATTTTCTTTAAAAAAGCCATGAGGATTTTCATCAGCCCAAAGGTGATTGTTCTGAACATTTCTAATACAGTCTCTTGAGAAACTCGCCTCGTCAGTAAATAAAATATTACCTAAGAACTGTGGTGCTTGGCCAATCATATTAATAAGCCACTGACAAAAAATCACACGGAGTAAAAAATCTCGAATCATTAACGCCTGCACCCGTTGAAGATGATAGGGATACAACATTTGATCTTTTAAAATTCTAAAAACAACGGAATGGCTTACATGTAGGACACGAGCTATTCTCCTGGTACTAGTTTCTGGGAATTCTTCAATTGAATTAAGTACGGCTTCTTCAACAGCTGCAGTTCTAACTTCTCTAGTACGACCAGAATCATAACTTCCTTTTTCAAAATTACCACGTTCCCGCAATTGTCGGTGAATAGTTGTGAACGTAGTATGATGGGGTAGTCTAAGCTGTGGGCACTGTTCAGCATAAAGTCTTTGCGCTTCCAATGAATTACCGTTAGCACGACCGTATGTAGAATGCATATCTGCCATTTCCAAATTCGAATATGCATACATATTTTCAATCAACTAATATTTCCTACAATACACAATCATAAAACTTGTGAAACAATAAGATGGGTAACAGAAAATGACACTACACAATCCTGGTATCAGTATTAATGTTTTCATGCAAAGTACAGTTAAAGTTTTAGAAAAAACTTGTAGAGTTAAAAAAGTTAGTCAATGAATTGGGCTTTTCAGTCATACTTTTTTAAAGAAAAAATTTTCATCTAAAAAAAATTGTAAGAAAAAATATCTTCAACCCCTTCTAAGCATACTTCAGGGTTGAAAAAATTTCAGAAAGTGTACTTTTATTAACAGATAATGTTTACCAAGTTTCGTGTCTTTAGCTTGATATACAGGGAAAATAAAAAAGAATAACCATTATTTTTTTTATTTTAGAAGGGGTGTAACTTTTCCGGGGAGGGTTTTTTCAAAAAATTTTATACCAAACACTCACATTAATTTTCATCACAGAATCACCCCTTTAATTTTTTCGGTGTTATTTAGATACTACTTTACAATCATCTTCGATTTGGTTGAGATAATAAATTCAATTTTTTTATTTTTGAAAATATTCAAGATTAGGAAAAAAATTTTTTTAAATTTCTTAGTAGATATATTTAATTTGAGCATAGTTAAAATTTGAAACTATGATAAAATATTAAAAATATAATACTCAAAAACAAGAGTAGTTAATGTTCAATATAACTTCCTAAAAGATAATATTAGGATCAAACTATGTTTAGTTTTAAATCCTTTAAAATATTAAAGCTAAATAATTAAAAATAAAGCCCGGTAGTTTCAATTAGAGACAATGTAAAGTATACTAAAGATATCTGCCAGTTAAAATCCGTTTATCCCCAGGATAATTTATTTGGAGGTAAATATTACCAGATAAAAATGGAAATGGTAGACTAAAGTCATGTCATATAAATCATAACCTAACAAATTCTTCGTTATTTGCATTGTTTATTTACGTGATTAATGGATAGTGGTTATTTTTAAAAAGTGAAAACAAAAATGACACATTTAGGTCAAAGAATCGTCGAATTTTGACGTTAAGTGCTGTTTAAAAATTATTTATTAAAAATTTTAATTGCAAACCACTATTTATTCTTAAAATGTAATAACAATAATCATTTATTTAGTGGAAAACTGTTTCTCGAACGAAAATAATGTGGTGATTCGATGTCCGGACTCTTTTTTACCGTCTGTCGTTATTTGCGAGATTTTAACAACAAAATTAAGGTAAAAATTTTTTAAATATTAAAAAACAATAATAAAATATTTCTAAACACTCATGAAAAGTCAATAACCAATAAGCAATCCAAATAAATACAAAAAATAAATTAAAATAAATTTTCCATCCATTAAGAAATCGAAGTAAATCATTTGACTTGACTTTGACATATGACAAAATAGAGAGTGTTCCGTTTTGTGAATTGACACAAAACACACTCGAAGTTACCTTTCTCTTACTGACATATGTATCACAGTATTTTTTAATTTGATTTAATTTCAGTTGGAAACTAATAACTTAAATAGTATCTATCTACTAGTACATTTCTCAGATAGTTATCTATGGGATAATTTGAAATGAAAGTACTAATACTAGTTCTAGTTAACTTATCTGTAGAAGATTAAAGTTTATCTACCTATTGGTAAAACTATTGGGCCTAAGAGGCATATAAATTTTAAATCTTACATTGAATAAAAAAACATTTTCATACTACAAAATATATACTTCTTAACATTATTTCCATCTTCAAATTATTTTCCTCTATACAGATTCTATAAGTTTATTTACTTAGCTGAAAACTGAACGTTTGTCAAATTACGTTTGAGTAAAATTTAAGAACAATCCTTTCCCTAAAAATTTTATCATAAATATTATTACAAATATAAAAACTACCCCTGTATTTACTTAAGTAATTGTGCTATTCTAGCTTATTAATTATGGAAACATTAACTATCATAATTATCAATTACGTCATTGAATCAATTAGTTTTGAGTTAATTACTTCTCATAATTACCAAAATAGATCCTTTGGGGCTGTTAACGTCCTACTAATTTTCAACATGTCCTACCTCAGTAAAAATGCCAGTCAAACTTATTACTGGGCAATTAAAAATGCCAATTTAGGTAAAAATCAATATATATTAGAATTATTTAATTATTAATCTCTAATTTTCATTTCTTAAAATTAGTAATTTACAAACTATTAAAATTTTCGCAAATTTAAAAGTTTGAAACACAAAACGTTGAAAATACAAAAGTTTGAATGACAAAATTTTGAAAAGAGGTTAAAAGTGAAAAAAGATCAAAACCAAATGATCGAAACTTCAAAAAGCAATCACTACTGATGATCGAAATGGTATAAGATCAAAAGCATTATATTACAAAATTAGTAAATTAATTGTTTTATTTTATTTGATGTATAATTTTTATGCAAAGCAACCCGCAATGGCTCTAGGCCGCACAGGTTAGGTAATTTAGCTAAAAATATAGTCTAGATCAAAAATAATTGTTAATAGTACAGTAGGGTTTTCTTCAAAGCATGGTGCATAATATCTTTATTAGAATAAATATTTACATATTAAATGCATTTTGGGGCTCTCATATGTTTATAAAATGCCTTTTCTAAGAAGTTAAACCAATATCTGACTTTTGTGGGAAGACAACATATACTGATAAATAATTTTGAAACATAACGAAGACGAAGAATGTGTTGGAAATATTGGAGATGTCATCACTAGTACATAGATATATGGCTGAATTGCCGCATTTCTTGCTTTT